CAGGAAGGCATGGAGTATGTTAAAATTGGACTCAGCCACCATCTAGGAATAATGCTATTAAAGTGTTGTTGTCTCCTTTACTTTTTTCTTTTTTTCCAAATGTGTGTTTTGAGCAGTTGCTACTCATTCTAGACAAAGGGGCTATTTCAGTGAATACAACATGCTCTCATGGGGCTTACATTCTGATAACTGTTTGTTTGTTTGTTTATTGAGATATAATTGACATATAGCATTGTATTTGTTTTAGGTATACAGCATAATAATGATTTGATACACACACACACACACACACACACACACATATACATACAGTGAAATGGTCACCACAGTAAGTTTAGTTAACAGGTCCATCACACGTACAATTACAACTTTTTTTTTATTGTGATGAGATCTTTTAAGATCTCTCTCAGCAACTTTCAGGTGTGCAATACAGTGTTCTTTCTTAACCAGTTAAATCTGCAGTCACTGAGCTGCACTGTTGCATCTATTACACATTACATCTACGAGAACTCACATTTATTGAGCATTTATTATATGCCCTGCACTGCCATCGGTACTTTACTTTTATCAATCACGTAATTCTTAAATAACCCAATAAGGTGAGTATGATTGTTGTCGTCTTCTAGGGCACAGAGAATCTAACATAGCCCAGGTTAAACAGCTCCAAGGTGATGTACCACACTGTGACGCAGGCATAGCCCCTCCTGTTAACCACTGCTGTACCCAGTTGGAGAGTTAGAGAACAGACTGACTTAAGGTGGCGATAGCATTGAGCATCTGTGAGCAGAACTGTGGCAGCATTGTTTTCCGTAACTTGAGCTGCTTTGTACCTGCCTGGGGTTTGCTCTTCTGTCCAGCAGCAAGCTCGCGCTTTTATGCCTCATAAGCAGGGGCCCCTGCCGATTGGGCCTGCCGTGGCAAACCCCACCGTCTGCTGACCTGCTCTGATGGAGTGATGGAGATAAAAGGGTAGGGAGGCTCTTATTTGTAATATTTGCCGATTTCAGTGATATAAAGGCCCCCCTGGCGGCTGACTTCAGGCTGCCGATGCCACGTCACTGAAGGCAGAGACGCGTGCTGGTACAAGACGTGCAGCAGCGCGCCGTTGTAACAGAATGCCTGCCGTGCAGATGCGCCGGCTGTGCCAGAGTAATGAAGAAGTGACGAGTTCAGAGTATTTATTACTTCTGTGTTCAACAGTCTAATCGTAAGCTTATGAAATTTAATTTTAAATGACGGCCTCATTTACCAACTGGCTTTCAGAATCCCTGAAGACAGGAAGATCAACTCTCAGCACCCTGTGCGGGCCGGGTCCAGCATCCCACTGCGATTATGCTGCCGCTCCTGGGGGGTCCACCCTCAGCACCTGAGGGCTGGCACTGTCTTGCCACCTGAGACATCAGTGCTGCCCCTTCTGTCAGCATTCATTCCTCTCACGAAACCTCCTGTCTCGTTTCCCTCATCTCCATCTAACATCCTGTGTCCCAGGCATTCTCTCTTCCGCCCACCGCCGCACCGTGCGTGGCTCACTTTCTCCCATCCCTCGGATGCCTGTCTCTTCACATTTTATTTATCCCTCACTGAGTACCGTCCCCAGCCAAGGGAAGGCCTCAGACATAACTAGCATCGTGGGGCATGGAAAGTCTGCCAGCTGGAAGTTGGGCCTCCTGGCAAGAAGAAATGCTCAATCTAAGAAGGGAAGATCTATTCCTAGAATTTTTAGGTTAGATATGTAAGTGGAAAAAAATTTCTTTTTACTTACATATCTTGTTATACTTAACAAGTATATATAAAGGTGATGATAGTATTACTAATACAGTATATATTGTGTCATATAAATAAGTTAAAATGGGAAAACTGATACCCTGGTTACATTTAAAACTCTGTACTGGCAAATAAGTAATTGATTGGTGGCATTTAGGACTACAGTGCTCCATTTTTGGGATCACCTGTACTTATAAGACGGGGCCTAATATAGATTTTCTTTTCTGTTTGTTTTGTGTCACCCGTCAGCAAAACTAATCAAGACCCTGACAGAATTGCCAGGTTCAAGGATACGTTCCTCATTAGTGAGAAAACATGGAACGTCTTTGTAAGGACGGCACGCTGTTTCCTGAGGTTAGGCTATTGGAGAAATAGAGATGTAGATGCGTTCTCTGCTGGGGTTGGGACAAACTAAAGTTTAAATCAAGAACGTCTCGAAAATTGCCCTTGTTAATAAGTTTAGCTGTTGTGGTTAGAAACACGACAGACTTTTTAATTGGGCAGTCAGATTGATTTACCTGTGTATTGTGTTGGGCTGGTCCCTCCCTTGGGCAGCAGAATCATTTACCAAGGATATCCCCCAAGGAGGGTGTCATCAGTGCACCTGCCTCAGCAAAACTGTTACTTAGCTCTGTTTTTCATCTTTATTTTTTAATCACCACTCTTCTTGCTTAATCTTTCAGGGCCAACTCAAGTAATACTTGGTGCCTGGCACTTGTGCAGTAAAATCAGAGTCCTGCGGGGGAAATGCAGGGGAATAATTTTTGTTGTTTGCTCTTAGTGACTTTACTGGAATGCAGAGAATACTCTGGGGAAAAGAGGTACTTTGATTCCAAGTGCCTCTGGAATCTAAATCTCAAGTGACTTTAAAGTGATTGGGCCTTCTGTGTTCCATTCTGTGGTACTGCATATTTTGGGTAGTTTGACTTAATGTTTAAAAAGAAAGAAACTATTGAACAGAGCTATGAAAGCAATTTGAAACTTACTTTTGTCTTGGGAATGAAAAAAGAGGTTGATGTTGAGAACTTTGTTAAAAGGATTTCACTTGCCTATTAGCCATTTCCCCTACCCACAATTAAAAGAAGGCCCCAGAGAGGAAATCCTTGATCTAAAAAAGAAAGCTCTATTCTTAGAATTCCAGGTTAGATACCTGAGTGAAAAAAAAAAAAAGCTTTTTTCTGTAAAAGTCCACAGTGTATATAATTTACGTTTGAGGACGCACAATCTCTGTGGCAACCACTCACCTGTGCTCTGTCTTGCCCATTCTAACCATAGACACTGAGAGCAAATGGGTGTGACTCTGGTTTTCAATAAAACTTTATTTATTCACACTGAAATCTGAATGTCGTATAATATTCACACATTGAAAATATTTGGGTTTTTCCCCCCCAAACATCCAAAATGTGAAATCCTTTCCTCGCTATGAGCCATAGGAAAACAAGCAGAGGGCTGGATTTGGCCCATAGGCCATAGTCGGTCAGCCTGTCTGTGCTCCAGAGGATGACGCCTTAGAACTGTGACGACACCTTTTTGTCAGGTCGTAATGGTATTTCAGTACCTCGAGAAATTGGCTCTTCTGCTGTGCTGCAGACTTGTAACTGGTCGTGGTTTATCATGCCACAGGATAGTAAAAATTTTTACCAGCCTAAGTTTTTCAAAAATGTTTCCAAGAAAGGGACTTCCACACAAATCTAAAGTATGACCGTAATGACCGGATTCTGTGCTCTTCCTTGTGTGAGGGTGCTTTGGAGCTTTCCAGTTCAGCGTGTGTAGTACGTTATAGCCTCTGTGCCGTTCAGCCTGACTTCTTCCATGCTGCATTCAGCGGGCGTAAGTGCCTACCGGGTACAGGGCTTTGCCAGGTATTTTGACCTCTGTTTCCACAATCAGCCTGTTGGAGTATTTCTGTTATTGGACTTGATCCTGGGTTTGACTGGAAGATGTTCTCTTTTCAGCATTCAATAAACACTGCCTGCTGCTGATTATGTATCCAGGCTGAGTAAGCGGTGGCCACAGGGTGGCATGGTTCTCTTACTGGCCTAGCTTCCTTGTTGTTAAAATGGACAGGGAAAGGCACACTGTAAGTAATGAGAATTCTCTCCCGACTTACTGCTAAAATGGCATGGCTTTCTCTAAATTGGTTTCTCCATCGTGCTTTATTAAGATTTACACAATACTGAACTTCATTACTTTAAAATGTTTTGTTTATGGGTATAACAAGAATTACATGATGTTTATGATTGGGAGAATGGTAGTTAGGACTGTATTTCATAGAATATGTTCAGTTAAAAAATTAACATAGAAAACTGCTAAAAGAATATTTCCAAATACTTGCAGAGCTGTGGGCAAAGTTACTGGCCCAACATTTTTGCTGGATTCTGAGGGTTTAGTGGCAGGGAGGATAAAGGGGAGTAGGGATTCCAGATGGTCAGGAAACACAAATTGTGAGAAGAGCGTCCCTCCCATCCTGAGAGATTAAGAATATTATCATAAAGCTGTGCATGGTCCAAGAGTTTTCACGTACATGGTGGACAAAAATAGGTTTACGGTTGTTCCTGTGGAAACGAATACAATAATCAATAATTATAATACACGAGGACTCTGTGTTTTGTGTACTCAGGACTGTAGATCTCCTTTCCCCCACCCAGTGTCAGCTGTAAGGAGAGAGGGGATCACCTGCATGTATGTGCCCCAGCCTGTGCTCTTTGCCCTGCACCATTGCCAGGCCAGCTCTGTTAGAGGTACTCCCCTCCCCTTGCTGGAGAAGGGGTGGATTAGCATGGCTTTCTAGGGTGTAGAATCTAGAGAATTATTGCTGCAGCTGGAAGACAGAGGTTAACAAATTCTGAATCTAGGCTGTCATGAGTCATAAGTGTACTTCCCCTATCCTCTGACTTTTTATTGGGGTTTCCTTGAGTTCTCCCTTTTCCCCCCTTCATCAGGTAAATATACCATCTGTTATCTTGTTAGTTTGCTTGTTTATCTAACCACCTGCAATAAAATGTAAGCTTAAAGAGGACAGAAATCTTATTTGGGGGGTCGTTTTGTATTCTCAGTGCCTAGAATACTTCCTGGTATGTGAGTGCTCAGTCAGTGTTTATAGTTGTATAAACCTCCTAGAATGTGGCACAGTTAAATGGTACATTTGCTTTTCCCTTGAAGTGGATGTTTAGTAAAGGCAGCCTTGCCGAGAGGAACCTGACTAACGCAGCCTTGCTCCATCTTTCCCTCCCCAGGGCGATTGTGTTGTCACTGTACTGCTCGCTGAAGAGGACAAAGTTGAGGATGATGTAGTGTTTTACTTGGTGTTCTCGGGTTCTACCCTCCATCACTGTACCAGTACTCGGAAGGTCAGTTCTGATACGCTGGAGACCATTACTCCTGGTGAGTATGCGAGCGGAACCTTTACAAACCTTTATCAGTTACTGAACATTTTCTTTTGTGTTCATTAGTGTGGGGGGGATGGGAAGACTGAATCAAGGTGAAAGAACTGTGGTCACATCTTTATTTTTAAATACATTTTAAAATTAAGTACTGTAGCTTGTTCATACTGTTGCTTGTTCCACAAAAACCTGAACCCAACTAGATATAGAGGAAATACAGTGGTGTCATAAGTTATTAAAAGATCCAGTCAGGCTCAACAAAAATATTAACGTGGACACTTGGGGAAGACCGCAGCGCGAGCAGAAGACGAGCTCTCTCCTGTGGTTGCTGTGGTGGGGCTGCGTGTCCGGTTCTGCACACCAGGGCGGCGGCGGCAGGGGGAGGGCGGCCGATGGCCCGTCCCTCGGCATCTGTGAGGGGAAGACTAACAGTCTCCATAAAAGCTGAACTTTCCGTAAATTAACAAGTTACAGTTCATGGTGGAACCAGTACTTACTCCCTGTTGCAGTGTAAGTTTAACAGTTAGAAGGAAAACTGTTCCTTGTTAAATTTTTTTACAGTGTCATTAAATTATTGCTGTACACAGAAATGGCTGATAAGGTAATGGCTGTCTCTTGACCTCTGCATCTGAAGTGCACTGATTCGTGTTTGGAGAGGAGCTTCTTTCCTTAGTCGAGCTTGCTTCACAGTTGACAGATTTTTGTCAGAGTACAAGAGAGGCCCGTTTAGGGGGAACCCCTAAAAAGTGTTGACAGTTGAACTGTTTTTCTTTAGAGGATGAAATGGATTTAATTTTTATTGCAACATTTCTTTACTAGTGTTTTTTTATAATACTGGTTCCACTTTATTAAAATAGATGATGTAAAAAATTATTCAATATCTGGGCTCACCAGTATTGGATCAGATTGTCAGTTTTTCTCTCTGTGCCGTTTTATATAAATTAACTTCATATCTGATACCTGCCAAATTCTGGAAATTATGCCACATTCAAGAACTGGGATTATGACAGTTGAAATCTGTCTTTATCCTTCTGCTTTTTCAAAATACAGGATTCAGAGATTCTTGGCAATTCTGTGACTATCCTGCCTCAGATTTTAAGGGATAGGAAATTGAACAATGACTTCAGGATAGATACTGATTTCTTTTCTAAGGAGGATTGAATGTCCATCTTTGTAACTGAAGCCGCAGTCCTCTTGTTTCCTGTGATGTAGATCGTGCCAGAAGGCTGGTCTGGAGAGAGGGCTGCTCTCCAGCAGGTGCCTGCAGTATTGCCACACTAAACATTTATTATGTGGGGGTGAGGGTCAGGGACAGCTCCTCAGCTAGGTAGCATCTGGGCTCTGATTAGGAAGGAGCTGCAGAGAGGTTTTATAAAATTATTCCTTCCTGAATTATAAACAATTTTGGAGTTAATGTTTAGGGGTGGGGGGAGGGAGAGAGAGTGTGTGTGGGGTTGGTGGGGGAGAGCAAGAAAGTATCATCTATGAGGCGGATGCAAGTAGCTGTGAGAGAAAGGACAAACGTGCCCTGGATGTGGTCCTCAGTCACGAGTACCAGCAGAGCCCAGCCTCTTGGAGGAGGGGATACGCTCCGTAGCTCCTTCACCTCCGCTGGCAAGGTGCTTATGTTAGGGTGGGCTGCAGGCACTTAGTCTCCTTGGATTTACAAACCGACTGTGCTTGTATGACAGCCTAGAACTCTTGGTTTGTACCTGATCCCTGTGTACTGCCTCCTGCCTGCCTTTCTGAACTCCAGCTCCTGTGTCTTCTTCGACTTTGGTTCTAACACCTGTTTGGTAGGTCTCAGTACCTGGTCTTTTTCAGCAGTACCCACATCTCAGGGTCCTTTTTGCACTCAGGGACTCGTGTTCCCTTGTCCTGCCAACCCCAGCCAACCAGAGTGGATATTGTACTCTGCTGCTTTCCTCTAATTTGATCCAAATCCTCAGGAATCATTCCTGACCCATTTGCCTCGGGCCCAAGTCCTAGTATAATCCCTGCCTTCTCCTTCATTTTCTAATAATCAACTCTCCTCCCCTTTAATTATGATCTTACCCCCTTCCCCTCTTCTCTGTCATGCTACAGGCCCAACAACATGTTCCCTGTGCCCCCCAGTTGTGTGGGACATGCAGCTACCTGCCTAGGTTCAGTCAGGCTGCTGCTCTGAGATGCCTGATCACAGCAGAGGTGACAGAGGGCTAGAGTCCCTGAAGGACCCTCTTGTACAGGCAAGCCAGGTGAAGAGTAAGGCAGCATGGTGACGTGTGCCTCTGAGGCCCCTAGTTGGAGAATCAGCTGTGCTAATAACTGTGTAAGCCCAGGCGATTTCTGAGTGGACTCCCTCGCTGTGCTCCTCATGTGTGAGGTTTTCCTGCTCACTTGTCTCTCTGAGCTGCTACACCTGCTGCAGTAATTTGTGAGAGGGTAGGGGTGGGGCATTTGGGGGGTTAAGTTAGTTTTGAATTTCTTGTTCATATCATGGAATTAATATCTTAGTCTGCAGTTAAACTGCCTTAAGCCTATTTTTATGGACGTCTTATACTTGGCCCTCACCTTCCTTTAGGTCTACTCAGGTATCACTTTCTCAACCAGGCCTTTCCTGTCCACCTTATAAATATATAACTCCCCCCTCTCTGTGTTCCCTATCCCTTTTTCATCTTTGTTTTTCTCCATGCACTTACCAACTTTTACCACATTACGTGTTTCATTTATCTTGTTTCTTATCGGCCTCTACTAAAGTATCACCTTCATGCGGGCACGGGTGTTTGCCTGTTTTGCTCACTGGTGTGTGCTAAGAAGGCTTGTTCCAGGAATCCCTATCTCGCGATGGAGCAACATTTCCACTGTGTCCAAATTCATCCTGAGTTCTCAGAAGCCACTCATCTAGAAAGGTCGTGCATGTGTGTGTGGGCACACAGATCCACATGCACTCATCTGTACACACACATGCACCCTCTTTCTTTTGAAAAATGCAAAAGGAGGCTCTGCCTTCGTTAATTGAATTCCTGGCTTGGGCAGGAGTCTGTGGCCTCTCTGCAGAGCGCCCTTTGGGGATTTCTGTGTGTCAGTTAGCTGTATCGATGGCCTCAGGTTTCCTGTCTGCTGAGGGCAGCGTCAGATCAGCCAAGAGCCTTCATGGGAAGTCTATACTTTCTTTGCCCATCCCAGTTGCTGGACAGATGTGCATTCTGTGTGTAGCTGCTGTTGCAGCCGCCAAGGAGAAGGGCATCTCTACAACCTCACCGCTCACGTGTGGGACCAGCTCTGCCGTTCCTGGTCATTGGGGCTGACTGCGGGGAGGAAAACGGCTTTGTGTCTTGTTCTGGTCTGCTGACTCTGGCTTTCATTTGAGTTTTCTATGTGTTTTGCTGTCCGTGTTTTGCGATATTTTAGATTTTACTAAGACCAGATGATTGCTTGACCTTCCAAAGGCAGCTGTTTATTGGTGTTAGTCTGTAACCTTTTGTTTGGAGGTGAGAACAACACATTTCTAAATTATCTCCTTTTTAAGAAAAAAACACTTCTTTGACTTCAGATACTGAGATTATTATTTCTTCTATTTTCTCACTGTTTTGCTTGTTTTCTTGTGAGAAGCTTCTAATGAATTGTGTGTGTGTTTAATTATGAAGAAATTGTAAAGGCTTTTAAAAGTAATCTTTTCTTGACTTACTGCCATTGAGAGGCCAAAGACATAATATGATTCCCCCCTTTTTAACAGTGTATTCAGAATGGTAACCTATTAGGGGATCATTAGGTGGAGACTTTGTTTTTCTACTTTATCTGCCTTTGAATTGTTTGAATGCTTTATAGCGAGCATGTTACTTTTAACATACATAGTAATTTTTAGTAAGAACATTTTGAAGACTGTTTGAAAACAATGTTCTTTCTTTTGAAAATAAGGTTATCTTTGTACTAATTAACACTAGACAAAGACAGCCAAGTTTTATTTTTAAAAAAATCAACATTCAGAGTACCCATGAATTGCCTGAAATGCAGCCTGAAATGGAAATACATCTTTAAAAGCAAAAGGTTGCCTTGGTATAAATGAAAATATCTCACTTTTTTTTTCCTTCATATAAAACAAATAAAACAAATCCAACTCCAAATCTCATTTTACCCATACAGTGATTTTCCTCTATAGATGAAGCTGAAATTTTTTTTTTTTAAAGACCAACATAGGACTGGTAAGTAATGTAAACAAACCTGAGTATTCTTGGAAGATAATGTAGAATAGAAAACGAGACAGGCTGTTTAGTGGATGCTACATACTGTTTCTGCGAAAGGCTTTGGGCAGACTTATCTCATAAAATGAAATCTTTTTTCAGGATGTCTATTAAATACTTTTAGAATTCACAGCAAGGGTTCTCCTGTTTGACAGGAAAACTACAAACACTCAGTGACCCAACGTTTGACTTAGTTCTTTTGTATTTTTCTTTTCTTTCTCATCTATCAAAGGGGAGATGCTATATAAAGTAGTTTTTCATTTAAAGAAGAAAAGAATGTATTTAATACGATCAGAAGTGCTTTGGGCCTAATTAAAAATCAGGGCTCCCTGCCCAGGTCTCAGCAAGGGGTCCCAGTGATACCTCAGCGTCTCTCCGTTTTTGTGACCCAAGCTCTGTTTCTGGCAAAAACGTACTCTTTATATGTAAGGCATAGATATACATCCCCAAATACATGGTATGTCTGCGGTATTAAAATTTTGTGGGACGGGGCAAATAGAGGAAATTGTCTAAAAAACTTTTTTGAGGGGATGACACTGAGTAAAAAGGTTGAGAAACACTGCCTTAGCATAGAGACTGGAACTTAGTAATCAGACTATTAGCATTAACTAGCCGAAATGTACATGGTGAGATTCCTGTACCTGCTCTCCCGCCTTGCTTAAATGCTCACGTACAAACAGAGACATTTCACTCACACAGCTATCTGCACATCTGTCCTTTGGCCGCCAGAAACCTGCAGTCGGTGCACACGTCTGCACCTATTCCTCTCTCCCGGTAG